AAGTCTCCATGGGGATCCCAGTCTGTGCAGTTAGGGTATACCATGGAGGATGTACATGGGAGCGCTATCTAGGTAGTGACAGAATTGAAGAGTCACAGCTAAAGGCACCAGAAGACTCATCCCAGAAACCATAATGAAGCCATGCCATGGAACATGTTCAGAGAGCCCTCAGCTATGTTCCACTCACCCAGTTACAAGTCTGGCTCATACTGAGCACATGTTATGAGCCAGGAACTGTTGTGGTCCTGGGGTTATTGAAATGAACATGTCAGATAAGGTCCTTGCTGTTTTGAAGGAGATAACTATGATAATAGTGGATCCTGGTAGGTTCTATTTGGAAAGGAGCCTTTGCTGCTGAGAGTAAGGTTTGGGAGTCGGAACTGGCCTTGATCAGGAGGTAAGGTTTCCTCCGAGCTCTTAATGCTGAGAATGTCCCATCCTTGGCAAAAGATAGGAAAGGTGGTTTTGCTCTTTATTTTATTTTTTATGCAGTAGACATAGCAAATTCTATTATTACTAAATGTAAATAACATTAAGGTATATGGAGCAGGTAGTCTCTGGCCATTTATCGTGTGCTTGGCTTTGTCGAGATGTTCTCAAGGTATCTGGAAGTTTGGTCCGAAACATACAGTCTTAGGGTGGGGAGCAGGGAAGAAACTATCAGCTTAGGGGAAGGGAACATGCATATCCAAGTAGAAGAAAAAGCATAAAGTTACTCTGAATCATTTTAAAGCAGGTGTGCTTTTATAATTTTTTTAAAGGGAAGCTAAGATTATTATTATTTTTTTGCTAGTTTCCAGCTATTTCTGTTGCATTTTATGAATATTGTGTCATACAGAGGCCTTGGAAACATTCATTTTTTCCTCCTACTGAATTTGTGGAGTAGGTGGGAGAGTTTAAAAAAGTCTTCAAAGACCCAGTTCCTCTGCCAGTGGGAGCGGGAAGAAGAGGTTGCACTGGCACTGGGACTGAGTGGAGCGAGCCACACTAGTGTGGAGCCTGTGGAAACCTCATGGAGTTCAAGCCCTCAGGGTGTTGGTGTCAGTGATAGCCCCTGTGATCCCAGAAATCCCTTCTGAGGTTCAAAAGGGGTTAATTTTGCAAGTTGTAAAGTGATCTTAAGTAGGATAACAGATGCATTGATAGGAAAGCAAACCGGAAGAATCGAGTATTGGGATTTGTTTCCTTCCCAACCTTATTGGTTGGCCGTTTCTCTCTTGAGCTCTGGATTTGTTGCTGGTAGGAGAGAGAAGTCTGCTGTGAACTTGGGAAGTGAGTCAGGCCTTGTATTAAGAACAGAAAGAGAACAGCCCAGTCTGTCTGTCTGGCATGACATTTGGAGAATATTTTGACAGAAACCAGAATTTTGAGGTACTGTATTGGGATACATGACTTGCCATCAAACTTGGAACTTGAAGACAACAAGCAACATCAATAAAAAGGCAAAGCAGAATGGGGCAGATCCTTGTCCATCCATGGGCTGGGGCAAAATTCAACATGAAAGTGGAAGTGATCTGTGCTGTGGAGGAGATGCCCATAGGTTTGTTTCTGAGGCCATTGGGCATGAGGGCTCCCCTTGGGCTGGAATGGGTTGGAGGTCCTGGTTGACATTTGGTAGGAATGAGGGTAGCTGAGATAGATTTACAGCAGCTACTCCATGGTCTTGAGATGGAACAGAGAAGAGGCCACAGCTGGGGAAGGTGAGGGCTCAAGGTCTTTAGCAGGGCCTGAAACAAAAACTACCATGTCTTTTAAAGCACTGGACCAGAGAAGTGTCTTGTTTTAGGCCAGGGTATGTTAGAACTGTAGGAAAAGGAAGGAATCATTTGAAAATTGAGGGCTCCCAGAAGGGGCAGAAGTTCCTTGGCTTTTCCCAAACTTGCCGCCACCCTGTACCCCACCATATACCCTTCTAAACTTGATTTCTAACTCAAGCAGAGGTTACTTAGGTTGGAGTGGGATCCTGGGAGAGTCTCTGTTTTGATGGAGGATAGTGAGGCTTGTTGCTTGACCTATTGTTCATGAAGGTTGACCTTGGCTAGCTGTGGATTTCTTGGGATCCTGGGAGTGTCTCCTTGTTTTGTTGGAGGAGAGTGAGGGTCAGTGCTTGGCCTATTGTTCAAGAAGGTTGACCTTGGCTAGTTGTGGATTTCTGTGGCGTTGGATCTCTGAAGGTCACCTGCTAGCACCTGGTGATGTGAGGAAGTGGTCTCTCCAGGCTGGTCCATTCAGCAAAGCAGCTTGCTCCAATCCATCATCTTTGTGACACATACATTTACTTTGCCATTTTTGGCTTTGGGATGGCTCAAGCCATTACATGACCACAAAGTGGAAATCTGCAAAGAGAAGTACTCAGCTGGCTTGGCAGATCGCCACACATTACACTCATCTGCAGTGCTTGCCCTCTGATGGGCAGGAGGGACCTGGGCAGAATGCTTATGTCCTGAATCGGTTCCTCGAAGGCCACTTGATGTCTGGAGAGGTACAGATCCTTTGTCCTGCTGGAGGGGGACCTGCACAGGTATGTAGGGATGCAGGTCTGCTGTTGGATCTAAGCAGCCCTTGTTTCAACTGGGAGCTCGCAGACTGGGTGTGTGCTGCTGAAGAGAGGGAGGCCTGCCTCACGTACCTGGCTTCCTTCCGTTCTTACTTCCTTCGTTCTGTCTTCTACTTGATGGAGTTAAGTAAGCAATGGCTGTCATCATGGAGCAGAAATGAGATGGACATGCTGAGAATGAATGAATCTCCTATAGGCAGTATTCTTGGTGCTTTCCTGGAAGATACTTAATTAATAACCTTGAAGAGATTATTCTGGAGCTTCTGCGCTCTTGGGTAAAATATATCCATCCCCAGCTGGGTGTGGAATCTGTGCTTCCCATAAAGTGGGAGGTCTTGGACTGTCAAACCAAAAATAAAAATTATTTTTGTTATAGTTTCTTAAGTTCTCCAGGTGATTTTCATTTTCAGCCAGATTTTAAAAACAAAAAACAAAAAACTGTCAAACAGCTGAGGCTCCAGTGAAATTCTGTCCACCATTCGGTGGACAGTGTCTTGTTCTCTCATACTGGCCTTAGCCTATGTACATGCTGTGCTGTGTACCAGGTTCCTGCAAATATTGAGTTACATAATGCAAGACAAGTGTTGAGGTTTTGTTTGTTTGTTCTGGTTGTTTTTCTTTGTGTGAATTGTTGTTGTTTAAGATCAAGAAGATAATAAAAGACCTGGACAAAGCTAAAATAAATGGCTTTTCAAATGTCCTTGCTTTTGCCTACATTGTCCCATGGTCTGGGATGTGTATCTTCTCTTTTTGGGCCCCTCCCACCCAGGCTTTGGAATTTCCCCAGTCTTCTATTCATGCTAGGAAGAAGTCTCTGCTTCTGCTGCACTAGGTGCTCCTGCTCAGGCCTCCTGCATCTTCTGAGCATACCCATTCAGAGTGTCTGTCTAGACACGGCCTTTTTCTCAGGACAGCTCAAGGGCTGTGCTGACTTTGTATCTCTGTCGCCTCACGCTGTCTGGTATGGAATAGAACTCAGTGAACAAATCAATAAATTCTTTGAGAGAATGATATAAATAACTCTTACCACCTTAAAGCTGATTCCTGCTAATGCATTACAGTGCTGGCATCTCCATACATAAGCATTCATAGTTGTCGCCTTTTTGTTTTTCTGTGAATGTGCTAGAGATAAAACCTAAAGCCCTCCACATGCTAGGCAAGTGCATCTCCAGTCCTTAGGTTTCTCTTTAAAAATTTATTTTTATTTATGAGTTTGCCTGCATGTGTATATGTGTGCCACATTCACTAAGTATCTGTGGAGGCCAGATGAGGGTCTCTGTTCCCCTGGAACAGAGTTACAGATGGTTTAAGCTGTCATGTGGGTGCTGGGAATTGACCCAGGTTCTCTACAAAAGTAGAGACAAATGAGGACTCTGAGTAACGAAAGTCACAGTTTTCTGTGTAGAGAAAACACAGAATCCTGGGGTTTGAACTTATGAAGGGTGACTGCTGTTTACTACCAGATCATCATGGTCTGACAAGAATGTTGGCTGTGTTCACAGATATAACTGTGGGCTTTTTTCCCCAAATAATGATTTAAAGGCTTATTATTTATGAATAAATGCCTAGGCCATAAGCTAGGTCTGTTTCCCAACTAGCTTGTAATTTATATTAACCCATTTTTATTATTCTGTGCCTGCTACATGGGTAGTTACCACTCCCCAGTTTCATACGTATGGTCAGACTTTCTGAGTTTGGTTGGGGAATTGTTCTGCCTGCATATTTCTCAGGGTTCCTCTCTCTCTGCAGGATGTCCCACCTTCTAATCCTGCCTCAGTTTATTGTCCATCAGATGTTTACTGACAGGTGATGCTTTCACACAGTTAACAGATTATCCCTAATACAGATTTGTGATCTGTTTGTCTTTTAAAGAGAAGCCAAAAGTGTGAACTTTATCATCATCAGCAGCAGCAGCATAATCATCATCATCATCTTAATTTATTGTGTGTGTGTGTGTGTGTGTGTGTGTGTGTGTGTGTCCGTCCACATAGGGGTCAGAGGACAGCATTTGAGAGTGAGTTTTCTATTGCACTGTGGGTTCTGGAGATTGAACTTGGTTTCTCAGGCTTGTGTGGTGAGAATTTTTTCAGGCCTAAGATGCCTGAGCTTTTCCTGAGTTTTAACTTCAGCCTCCGGGTACCAGGATATAGGAAGCAGGCACAGTGTTGTGTCTTTTCGATTTCAGTTTGTAACCCAGTTGCAGATGATGTCTGGAGCATCCTTGTGCCCGAGATTCTGTCACTGCCCTGGGAACTGTTTACTGAACTGAAGACTATTGGCCTATGGTGGGAGATGAGGCTGAGCCAGAGATTTAGGCTGGAAGAGAAGTGTGAGGGGTTTGGGCCTGAGGGGTTGCCCAGCAGTTGGGTTGAGATGAGCCTGCTGAGGTAAGAAAGACCAGCATGTTTGTGGCTTACTCAGAATGTTTTATGTGTTGTTTCAGGAGTTGGCATCTGTTGGAAGACTCTGAGATTCTCTCTGCCCAGAACTCCAGGACCAATGCATCTTCCCACCACCTTAAAACACTGGTGAATACATGTTTTTTGTTTTTTTTTTTCTTTTTTCTATTGCAGGGAAGGGAAATATTGACTACGCACTGTGATTTGCAGATAGTATGTTCATTTTTTTTTCCCATGGAAGAAAGCCTATAGGCTGGTGTGTTAGCTACTTTTCTATTCTCTGATAAAACACTGTGAGCAAGGCAGTTTCTAGAAGGGAGGCGGGGCTTATAATTCCAGAAGAATAAGAGTACATCATGGCAGGAAATTATGGCAGCAGGTGGCAGGCACAGTAGCAGGAACAGCTGGGAGCTCCCACTACCAACTAGAAACAGAGAGAGTGAACTGGGAATGGCATGCAGCTTTGAAACTTCAAAGACTGCCCACATTGACATATTTCCTGGAGCAAAGTCACAGTTCTTAAACCTGTCCACTCAGTATCACCAGCTGGGGTCCAAGTATTCAAACATCCAAGCCTATGGGAGACACTCATTCAAACTGATGCAGCTGAGTTTAGGCATATCTAGGGTCTGCCAAGTTTACTGTGGGATCTAGAATAATTGTGTGATTTCTGGGATTCCAAATAGCAAAGTCTATCTTGAATTGTTTACACTTTGGGGTTGCTTGCTTAGAAGACTAAAGGAGATAATACATGTGAAAATACTTCAGAGAGAGGAGGTGTTAGGTAGATACAGTATAACACTGTGGGCTTCTGAGATACCCTACAGCTCACTTCTCTCTCACACACTTTACCTTAATTACGTAGCCTTTTCTAGAGTCCCAGAAATAGCTTGAAGAGACAGCTGCTACAGGCAGGTCACCGAGGCCAAGGCTAGATGGAGTCTTCCTGGCTTGCTTTGTGATGCTCAAGTCCTTCTTTACCTGCTTTCCCAAGAGACAAGTCTGTCATGTCTGAGTTAGCTAGAACATTAAAATTATCCTTCTGTATGTACAGGTTGGTGACACGAGTTTTGAATTCCTGTTTTCTGAGCCCTCTAGGGTGGTTGTGTAAGATGTTTGCATTTTCTTTTTAAGTTTGTTACTACCACTCTAGCTCTGTTTTATTTTCCGTGTGTGTGTTTGTGTATGTGTGTGTGTAAATAAAAATTGTTCTTTCCTTTTTAGTTGAAAATATTTTTTCATACAAAATATTGTGATTTTATTTCCCCTTCCCCCCAACTCCTCAACTCCTCACAGATCTACCCAAATCCATACCCTCCTCTCATCAGAAAACAACCAAGCATCTAAAAAAAAAAAAACAGTAAAATAACAACAACAAAGAAATCAAACCAGAATAGGAACAAATGAAAAAATAGCCAAAGAAAAAGCACAAGAAAGTCATACAGACATAGACACACACACATTTCGCGCACAGAAATTTTATAAAGACACAAAGTTGGAAACCATAATGTATAAGCAAAAGACCTATAAAGGTTTTAAAAACAAAATAGCTCAGACAAAGCATTATGAGACAAAAACTTTCCAAAAATCTCATTGAATTCACTTTGTCTTGGCTATCTATTGCTGGGCAAAGGGCCTGCCCTTAAGTATGGTTTATATACACAGTGAGACTCAGTTGGAGATAACTAATTTTTCCTTTGCATAACTCTGTGTGTGGTTTGTTTGTTTGTTTGTTTAATTTTTTTAAAGGTGAATGGATTGCATTTCCCAATTACCTTTATGTTTATTTGTGATCACATCATTTTGTGTACCACAAATATTCTTTGGGAGAAACTTGTTCATTGCAGTAGGCAAATGACCTGCCCCCATAGCAACCGAGAGAAGTAAAAACATACCCATAGCAACCTTGTGCACAGTGCTCAATTGGGAATGGTTACACAGGTGATAGCTAGTGCACATTGGAGGTGTCCTGTAAACTCCTGAGGACAAGGACCACAGGAGCCAGGGAAGCTGTGTGATCCATACATTTGATTTTGACCACTTCGTAAAGAAAATCTGACCTGTTTAATGTTACTGCCTGGTCAGCTTCCATCACGTAGATCAGGTACCCCTGTGACCCAGTCAGACAGCTAACTTCTAATGACACAACCACAGGAGGAGCTGGATGGGTGCTATGGTTGGAAGAGAGAACATTTAGTTGGGACAATCAGGCCTAGGGCTAGGGACCCAACTCACCCACAGAGACTGATATCTTAGGTTGTTCTCAGAGAATGTTGGGTATTCTGGGTCCCATCTTGAATCTCATCAGGTAGAAAGGGAACTGTAGTGGAGTCTTCAGGGAAGCAGGTGGACATTTAATCTATCCGGCAAGCATGTGTTTATGAATACTCTATGTAAAGTCGTTGTTCTGGACACTGGGGATTTCCTGTTCACAAGGCAGGCTGTGTGTCTACTTCTCCCTGGAGCTTAGGCTTGAGCAGTGACTGAAGATAAGAACATGAACTCCAAGGGGGCTGAGAACGCTGCTTATCTCTCCCTGTATCTTGCTGCTGTATCTCCACTTTTTTTTTTATTGGTATCTCCACTTCTTAATGTATATGAGTCTTCATGCACACTAGAAGAGAGAATCAGCTTCCATTACAGATGGTTGTGAGCCACCATGTGGGTGCTGGGAATTGAACTCAGGACCTCTGGAAGAGCACCCAGTGCTCTTAACCACTGAGCCATCTCTTCAGCCCCCTATCTCCACTTCTTAGACTCCTTGAACCTGATGGATCTTAACTATGAATGTGGTTATGAATGGAGCAAACAGATACGCCAAGTGGAAACTATAATTTCTGGGAATAATAAATGCTATGAAAGAAATAAAAGTGAGAAAGCCGGAGAAAGAGAGTGAGTGAGGGAAAATGGGAAGGGAAGAGAGAGACTGATTTCCTAATAGAGACCTGAATGGAGGAAAGGAATCTGGGAGGGTGGGCCACAGGGAACAGCATAGGAAAGGCAAAGCCTTTGATGCAGGCTGCACTGGCATGGTGGAGGAACAGGAAGTCTGCCAGTCTGGCTGGACGTGGAGGTGGTTTAGGGAGGGAGGGATGTGAAATGAGATGGTAGTGTAGGCAGGAATCGCACTGTGTAGGCCATGGTGGGGGTTTTACTCTGTCCGAGTGATTGGATTGTACTGGAGAAGCCTGAGGAGAGTAGTTGATGTGGTCCTCTACCGTAAAACCGTTCTTTTGGATCCTGAGTGGATAACAGAAACGAGGGCAATAGGACACTTGGGGTAACTTCTGAGAGAACTTGTCAGTTGCCAGGTGATGGGTAGAGGTGTGGGCTGGACCACAGAGTGATGGTAAGTGGTAAGGTTCAGGTATGTTTGGAAGATAGAGTCTGCAGGTCAGTGTGGGATACAAGCAAAGAGAAGAGTCAGAGCCGAGCTAGGTTTTTTGGATGGGTAAATGATGCCACCATCATTTTGATGGGGAACAAAGAGGGACCCTGAAATTTTGATATCAAGGCTGGAGGTATAGCTCTGTTGATAAGAGTACTTCTGATGGGCACAAAATTCTGAGTTTCTCAGCACCATATAAACTTAATACTAGCACTCAGTGTGTGAAGGCACAAGGACATAAGTTCAAGGTTGACCTCAGCTGTGTAGTGGGCTTGAGGCCAGTTTGGACTATATGACCCTCAGAAAAACATTTCGTTTGAGCCATATTAATTTTGAGATGCCCACTCACTATTATCACAGAGATAGAATAGTGCTTCCTGAGGATGGAAATGGTTATCTGTGAGGTTTATAAGCTCTGGATGGTATTTAAAGCTAAGACTGTATAAGGCCATGTATAGGATTTTGACAGAGAAGAGAAAAAGACAAAGGGTATTTTTTTCTGGATAACATCTAGGAAGTAAATTAAGGTCTGGTGAGATGGCTCAGAATATAAAGGCAGTGACTGCCAAGCTTGACAACTGGAGACCGATTCTCAGGACCCACATGGTGGAAGGAGAGAACCAACACCCTTAAGTTCTCCTCTGTCTACTTCTGCTGTGACATGTGCACATGCATATTATATACGTGCATACATATGCTACATACATGTAATGAAGAATTTTTTAAAGAAGTGAACTAAGGACATAGGCAAGAGAACATGATTTGATTCTTCTTTGGTCTGAACTGTACAAAGGAGATAAAGATAAATGAAAAGTGTTACAAAGCCTTATCTTTTATAGAAAGTTAAAACACCGTGATTTCTCCAAATCAAGAAAATTCATTCTAGATTTGCACAATTTAAAATCTGTTTGCTGGGAAAACTTACAAGCTGCATTTGTGCACTTGGCACATGATTGTGCTTTTGGCTGGCAAGCAAAAGGGCAGCATCCCTTGCCAATAACCTGTAAACAGCATTGTTTTTCATATGGGCTGGAGCTTTGACAACCTGCACTTGTGGCTGACTTAAATTTACTCCCCATCCCAGTTGAGGTTTGGTCTTGTGTGTATTAAATGCGGGCTCCCAAGACCTGGAGTCCGCCTGTAGACCAAGTGAGGCTATATGACCCTGTCCCCAAGTTATTTCTGATTGGTAAATAAAGATGCCAACAGCCAGTAGCTGGGCAGAAGAGACATAGGTAGAGTTTAGGATTCTTGGGCTTGAGGTTGGAGGAGAACAATGGAGGGACAGGATGAAGGAGGAGTGGAGGAGAAGCTGACATGGGTTAGGTGAGAACGTGGGAGAGGGCTGGCCAATTGGAGTGAAGAGCAGCCCAGATAAAACATAGTAAGTAGGAGGCTGGAGAGATGGCTTAGTGGTTAAGAGCACTGACTGCCCTTCCAGAGATCCTGAGTTCAATTTCCAGCACGCACATGGTAGCTCACCATCATCTGTAATGGGATCTGATACCCTCTTCTCGTGTATCTGAAGATAGAGTGTACTCAAATACGTAAATACATCTTTAAAAGAGAACCCCCAAAATATAGTAAATAATAACTCAGGGTTATTAATAAAAAATACATTTTATTTATTTATTTTTATGGATATTTTATTTACATTCTAAATGTTACTCCCTTTCCCCATTACCCCCTTTCCCCATTTCCCCCTTTCCCAGATACCCACTATCCATCTTCCCTCCTGCTT